CATGTTCCAGATTTAGACACTGTTTTACATGCAGTCAGTAGAGAGAAGAATGATTCAAAGACCTAAGTGTTTTGCCTGTGGCTACTTATCTCCATTTCGTCTGTAAGTGGAGAGTTGAAGACTTCCCACAGAAATCCCACTGAGTGAGGAGCAGCTCTAGATGCAGGCAGCAGGAGACAGGAGATGCTAAGCTAGCAAATACACCGTTAAGGTTGGCAATCAAAACTATTAGCGCTCTTATGAGAGTCATCTTATGGAGTAACTTCTTAATGTAAAACACATAAACAATCCCTGTAACACACAGGTTTCCCCCGCATCCCATGGAGCGTTCTTCTCACTGAGTTATGATCAGGTTCCCTTTCGCTCAGCCTAACTTTGGTCCTGTAAGTTCTGTGTAGTGGTGGCAGGAGAGACCTGTTTGTGGGATCGAGAATATACCTCCTTTTCTTCTCTCCTTCCTATCCTAGCTTTGCTTTAGTCCAATGAATGAGATACTGTTCTGGGAAATATGAACAGGGGTTCAGACCATTCCAGAGGGAGGGCTGTGATCTCCCCACTTCCTGGATGCAAAGGGTACTCAGTATGATGTAAAAAGTGGACATTGCTGTGTCCACATCCCCATTTCTTAACTGGATTCCATGCTGGCAGGCACTGAACAGGAGAATGCTGGGGACTGGGCCCTTCCAGAAATGGAGGAGGAGTTTTGGCAGGACTGGTAGCCAGGAAGGCAGATGAGCTGAACATTGACAGCTAAATTCCACTGACAGTTAGGGTGCCATAGTAGCCAGAAGGTGAAGGCATTTGCGAGTAGGAATGCGTGTAATCTGAGCAGCCACATTTGGTTAGTCAGACCTCAGTTGTATGTAAGGCTTCTGGAACAGATGTTGAAGGAAAAAAAGATACCAGAGATGGAACTAAACAGAAAGGATATGGAGGTCTATGTGGATTTACCAAGGGCTGGACTACTACCTTTCTGTGACAAGGCAATGATTAATTGATAATTGGATGTCTGACAATAAGAACTGATTTTCCAAAAATGCAGAAGTATAGTCTGTCCAATACAGCCAGACTGCAGTGAACACTTAATAATGTGCTTTCTGTGGTATAATTAGGAGAATATGAGAAGAGCTCAGCAAAATGAAGACTGAGAAAAGACAGAACTTCTGCTGATAAATAAACCATGAGATTATGTTTTGAGCAGGAAAAGAACTGTGAAGAGAAAATATACTGCAGATAGAAAAACAGTGTATACAGATTACCCAGGCATAAATATAGGCTGAAAATCAGAATGAACTGTCTAGCTATCAGAATAGGAGAAAGCAGCTATTCTTAGGCCAGATTTTCCCAAACAGTAAGAGAGAAGGATAAAATTAATCTGGTTGTGTCCACTAACCCCTTCTTTTCTAGGGAAAAGCAGTCAAAAATGTCAGGTAGCTGTTTCTCAGCTTTTCCATGTTTCAGATGTTTCAGGTTTTATTGAGGACACTTGAGAGCTCGATAATGTAGAGTGTGCTTTGTGGGATTACCAAGGTTGTATACCAGCCACTCGTAGCTGGCCCTTGCTTTGGGTTTTGTCAACTGCTTTTGTGCATCCTGGTGAGAAGTTTGCAATGGCTTTGCTTCTTCCTTCCTGGTATTCTCCACTGGAGGGCAGGATCTCCCTTTCTAAATATCTGAATACAGTTCCTTGTAATTGAATACATGTACTGAATAATTGAATAAATGAATACAGTTCATTCTAATTATAATCATTCTAATTTGGCTTGTGGTTGAGCTGAAAGCCTGTGGAACTCTGAATCTTACCAGCAACACAGAGAGAAATTATATAGTGTTCTGTTTCACAACTTGAAAACATAAGCATGGCCTTTGTCAGAATATTTTACTAATGATGCCAAAGCCACATGCTAACATAAACATTACCTTCTCTTTTTGATTTAGTAGGCCTAAAATGCATTTTCTAGGGATAGAGATTTTGTGGTACCTCTTGTGTGTCACTCCTGCAGCTGTATGAAATCTTCCCCTGGCTGATGTGCCGTCTCCCTGGTCCGCATCAGAAGGCGTTGGCTTGCTATGATGTCCTGAGCTCCTTTACAAAGAGAGAGATCAGAATGCACGTGGAGCGTGGGAAACCAGACGAACTGCAGGATTTCATCGACTTTTACCTGGATCACATTGAAAAAGTAAGTATTTGTTCTGCCTGATCATAATGTTCATGGGTAATCAGGTGAAATGGACTATTAAATCATCCAGTCTGAGCCCTTCTGTCACAATCTCTTACCTTTCACTGACATCCTAATGTGAATCCAGTAACCAGGGACTTGCTAAATCCTTTCTAATTACCAATATGCCACAGCACCTTGCAATCCTTTCATTAAAGGGCAGGTTAATACATGGCATTTTTTCTCATTGGCACAAGTTACAAAATTATTTAAGGCCTCCAGGAAAGAATACTGAATTTCTAAGTGGATCACAAGAGAACTGGGAAGGTTTTGGGGAAACAGAATGGGATTTTCCAGATAGAGAATTTGGCTGGTAAGGGTTTGTCAAGAGAGGTTGCTGCAAGAGGACAGTTGGGTTTTGAGAGCATTTTGTGGGGAAATAATCTAGGAGTCAGTGGAGCTTCAGATAAGGCTGGAGAAGAGGAGAGTGCCAGGGTCAGTGAAGTTTCAAGCAGACAAATGGAACTGGGACAAATAAGGGCATTTTGGGCAGGTAGGCATAGTCGAGGTAGGTGGGAATCCGTAGGGTTTTGAAAGGCTGTAGGAGGCTTGCATAAGCTGTGAGTGGGAACACATATCCCTCCCTTTTCTAGACCTTACCAGGATCACTTCTTTGTCTGAATCTCTTGGGAACTGGATCTCCTCCCTAATCCCTGGGCTAGCAGCTGCCTTTCCCCTCTGGGACTTCTTCTACCTCCGCTTAATTACTCTTCCTTTCTTCTCTTCTCCACTGCAGTTAGGCCATATTCCTCCTCCTGTGCTGCTTGGTGCTAGGAAGAAGAAGAATAAAGGGGAGGAAGTGACAAGATGAGACTGGTGTTACTGGGGTGTGACAAGGCAAAAGTGGCTCAGAGAGCCAAACAAGATATCCAGGGTGGGAGGTACTTATCCTTGCAGCCCCTTGAGAAGTGGGTGGTGACTGCTGCTGCTGGGTGGCAGTGCTTACCTGCAGGGACATCCAGCGCCTCTTCCACATTGGTCATATGCTGGTTGCAGCAACAAAGGGCACCACAACCTCGTCAGGCTCTAAGTGCCAGCACCTCCTGGCACAGCTGAAACAGGGCTGTTGTCCTGGACCACTGCTTGCCTTGTGTACTCTCTTGTGTTGGCTCTGCTGCCATGCTCGATCACACCAGAGAGACGTGCATCCAGGGCAGAATGTCTATTATCTGTTTCTGTCAGTCAGCTCTTTAGTCTTTTACCATGTGTCTTATGAATACATCATAGCACTTGATTTCTTTGTTATTGTGGGGAATAAAAGCAACTATCTCATGGAACTCCAAATATATTGCAACTGTAAAATTGTCATTATCATCCAACCTGGTAACTCTATCAAAGGAACAAATCAGATCTCCTTGCCAAGATCTGTTTTCTGTATTATAATAAATAACATTAATTTGTATTTCTAGCTCATAATTCTTTATTAATTGATTCCCATATCAGCTGCTATGTTTTTATGTCCAGGGTGGATGTCAGCCTAACTGGCTTCTAGTTCCTTGGATCCCCTTGTTTTAAATTTTCTGATGCTGGCACAATATTAACCCATCTGGTCTTCCAAAGCATTTAACTGCATCTAAAGTGTTTCACTGCTGTTCTAAGATTTATGAGACTTGAACATCAATGGACCAGAAACTGTTTCAGCAAGCTCTCCTGGGACTCTGCTGGGTGGAATAAAAGGATTAAATGATGTTACAACGGGGAAAAACATCCTTTCCACTTTGCAGTTGCTCCACTGGCAAAAGAAGGGTTCAAGACCCCTGAGCATAACCTCCCTAGATTTAGACAATGAATTTCCCCCAACCATAGCAATGTTCTTTCATAGTTTCAGCATATACATACATGTCCTTCCACATGTAACTGAAAACTGTAAAACCCCAGAGCAGCTGTACGTGAGTCATTGTGGCCTTGTAGTGCGGAGGAAGCCTGAATACCGCAGGTTAAGACTTTTGACAGCCCAGTGTTCATTGCCTGGTGACTGTATTGCTTGGTAGAAAAGCTAAGTGAGGGAATGTGGCTTGAGGCATGAAGAATGACATGCTGTTGCACATCTTCAGAGGGACATTTACTTATGAAACATTCTAAATGTACCACTATTTGCACGATTAAGCCAATGATCCTTTTCTGTGGAGAACATGTGATTTAGCTTCATGATTAAGAGTGGAGTAAACATGGCCCGTCCATTTGTGAAATGTTAGTTTTTCGTATTGGTAATCATCTTTGGTGTCTAATATTTTTTTATCAATCTCTCTATATTGCACTATAGGCAGAACACACTGCAGCTTGGAACCAGTGATAAAATCACATTTAAACCTATTCTGCTTTTTCTAACTTTCATGTATAAACCTCTACTTTTTGTTATCATTTGCAGTCCAGAGAAGTACCTAGGTCTACATACAATGAAGACAACATGGTTTACTCTATAAATGACCTTTTCTTGGGTGGATCAGAGACAACAAGCACTACTTTGAACTGGGCGCTGCTCTATATGGTGGCAAATCCAGACATCCAAGGTGGGTAGATAAGCACTTCACAAATATATCTGATGCAATAGAACAGCCAAATCATAACATTTTCATGGGTCAAAGATTATTCCTAGATACTGGTATGTAACTAGTGGCACATGGACCTTTTTGTGCCAGTAGATCTGCGCTAGGCAGCACTGGTAGATGCAGAGTGCCTGAGTACAAGCTCTTCCTGCAGTCACAAGCAGAAGGCAGTTCCCAGAAAGAGGTAACGGTTTGGGAAGGATGCGTACGTACAGAAGGTTGTGGCTGATTGAGATGGAGGGGTTGAGGTCTTTGGGGACATGAAGATTCTGGTAGGGTAGGCAATGGAGTAAGAGGAGTGGAGTTCCTGTTTGGGAAGGCAGAGGGTTTGCACACATAATGCGTGAAGAACAGTGGCCACTGCTGCAGCCATTGGTGAGGTGCTGACGGTACTTCAACAAACCAAGCTGGGTTCTGTCTTAGCCACAAACACGACTGATGGCTGAAAATAATCAGAAACTGATGTGTAACAGTAGGGATGTCACCCTTTGGAAACTTACTTCAATTCTGCTTTGTATGGGCTGAGAATCAGTGATGGGGGCTACAGGGAGTCCTGCCCTTCCTTGTGCTCTGTAGGTCAGAAGAGTAGTAAAGATAATCACCTAAATCAGTTGGCAACTTTGATTTTATTTTAGTCCATCAGTCCATTTATGATCCCAAGGTGTCTGGTTGTCTGTTTAATTTGTGATTAACTTAATGTTGTGACGAATTTGAGCTTCTTGCAACAGAAATTACTCCAGTTGGGAGGGAAATTTGATGGCTCATTTGTTTTACCTATGTGTAAGTTAAGAAGTTTATTTGTAAGTCTAGCTTTTAAATGCCCATCAATCACTTTCATAGAGCACTAAATGAAAACCAAAGAAAGAATGGTCTTTCATCTTATCAGATGCTGGATAACAGAAATCTCATTGTTAGATAGCAGAACATGTGCAAATACCCAGAGGAGAACAGGGTTTTCAATAGAGGAAAGAGATGAAAATAAGAAAAAATAGATGAACTTGTAGCTGTCAGACAAGGAGAGCTACTTACTCTAGTGTGATTGCATGTTTATTATCATGCAATGTAATTAAGGTTATGAAAGTGCTGACTCACCTAAATAACTTTATTTATCTAAGTACAATACCTTGCACATGCTTGGGAAAGCAGGGTGTGTGCAGAATGATCCTTCCCAGGCTTCTTGAGTCATACATTGCATCTAGACTCTCATAATGAACTGACACCAGTATATCTGTCCTCATTTAATTGGTGGCTTCTTTTTTAACCCATTCATACTTTTGCCTGTGTTGATACCCAGTGACAATGTTATGCAGTTCCATCGAGTACCGTATGGAAAAGTTTGGCCTTTTGCCTAACCAGCCCTGAATTGGGGTCTCCTTGTTCTCTGAACTGCTGGAACAGAGAGGCATATTTAGACCTTTGCAGTGACTGAACACTTCAAATTCTACTGGATCCTGACCTAGTCATGCTTGATTTTGCAAAATAGCTCTTCATAGAAGGAAATTTACTTTACTTACAAATCTTTCTGGATATACATTTTAAATTCTGTAAGGTGCTTAAATCTCTCTTGGCAGGTTCTTCCTAACACAGGTTTTTGAAGGACTGCTGGCAGTCACTGAGCAGGCTTGATGAGAATGAGCACAAAATGATCAATACAGAATGGGCTTCCTTGTGTCTTAGTGTTGCTTCAAAGAGCCTGGAAAAAGACTAGATCATTTGTTAAAACTGCAATACATTTCTGTTGCGTGTGTACTGCCTCTCTTGAAGTTTACAAAACAGATTTTATACTTTTGTTAATGCTCCCAATAAGTAATTTAAATTATGCTATTCTTGATCAAAAGGCAGGTGCCAAGAAGCAGATCCATTACTTTTTAAAGGTATTTGGACATTGTTCTAGTTGGCATTGCTTTACTTAGCAGGTGTCCTACATAAGAACCATTCCCTTTTAACAGGAATTAGCCTTTTAAGGCCCAGATTCACCTGGCTTACATTCCAGAGAGCTGTGAGCTCAGTGGTTCTAAGTGTCTGCAGGTGCCTGAGGCACCTAGCCAAAGGAAAACACAAAGATAAATCACTTATCTCTTGCATTTAAGGGTTAGTAGGGCAACTCTTTAAGAGTTTTAAATTTTTGAACAACAAATGTCTTTTCTTAATTTACAGTCAAATAACTTCAGACCCAGAAATAGAGCTCCCGTATGTTTAAGCTATTGGAACACCCTGCTAGTTTTATTTTCTTTATAAAAGTTACTTACATTTTTATATTAATTTTGTTGTTGTCCTCATATTTCTAAATGGGAAATGTCTTTGAAAATGGAATCAGTGAAAATACTTGACACTTTTTTCCATTCCGGTGAATTTCAGAGAAAGTCCAGAAGGAGCTGGATGCTGTTCTGGGTCCTTCCCAGTTAATCTGCTATGAGGATCGGAGAGAACTGCCCTACACAAATGCTGTGGTTCATGAGGTTCAGCGCTTCAGCAACATTATCTCGGTTGGCATGCCCAGAGTGTGTGTGAGGAACACTACAATGCTCGGCTTTCACCTCAAAAAGGTACAGACACAGTTTCACAGACCTTTCCTGCATCAATAGAACAAGGTGCAGATTAAAATCTGTTTGTGCCAAGGTCATCTTCTCAACAGCAGTGGGGTTGGATACCTCTGGGTTATAGCCTGGATGGGAACAGGGACAAGAAACCATCCGCCAGGCTGATGTGAGTGACGCAGCTCTTGGGAGAGAGTTATCAGTAGTGAAAGATGCCCCTGGATGGAAAAGGGGATTTTAGCAAATGTTTCTACAAACCAATGACGACAAAACCTTAGAGGTTGATACTGAAGGATATTGTGATTGATTTGTGCTGATAAGGCATTGGAAATATTTCTGACTGATTTTTTGCCTGCAGAAAGCCTGTAAAAGATCCAGGGAAAAGCATGAAAGTTTGCAACTAGTTTTCGTCAAAGAGACTAAATCACAGAAGCTTCTAATTTTAGAAGTGAAAATGAGTTTAGTGTAAATCAAGATGTTAGTTTCTACTGATATGGCCCCTTTCACTGTCAGGTTTGGACTGACATTCTGAAACAAAACGACTTCATGTTCCTCACAGTTCCTACTGGGGAAATGAACCTACCAGCGTACTGAACTCTGAAAGTAAGCTAACGCTGGTCTCACCGAGCCGGTTCTGACTGCTGGGGCAGGATTGACAGCCAGAACTGAGCGAGTGTTTTTCTCCTTTCAGGGCACCATCGTTCTTCCAAATATTGCTTCGTCTTTGTATGACCCAGAGCAGTGGGAAACACCTCGACAGTTCAACCCTGGTCACTTCTTAGATAAGGATGGAAACTTCATGAGCCAAGAAGCCTTTTTACCATTCTCAATAGGTAAATGGACTGACAGCACAAACATTAATGGTTGGACCTGGGACTGCAGAATTAAGATGTCTACTAAAAACCTATTGGTCTTTTATTTTAAACCTCTTTGTGGAAAAGAGTGATAAAATCAACATGATTATTTTCAGTAACCTTTCCCAATCCAAATATAAACATTTGTTTTACTGAACAACTAATAACATGGAAAAAGAGAGATGTCCTGAACAGACGTATATATCTGACTTGCCTTATTTTTGGAAGGAAATTCTCTGCTAATGATTATGGGTATTGATTTAGGGCACACATTTCAACACCAGACATACATTTGGAAAGTGCTTGCAAGCAGCTGTGCTGGTGCTTTCTGCATACAAAACTGGAACACGACATCTCCCATGAAGAGCAAGTCCTTATTCTTCATTTACATGATTGAACAAATTCCTTTAAAGTCATCAGTCAAATGATGATGAGGTTTTTGAAGTAACTGAAGCAAAACTCAGAGCAGAAGGGACGCACAGTTATCTATATCTGCAGATAGGCTTCTTTAAAGGCAGGATTACATGAAGTTTTGTATCATTGATTGCATTAAGTCTTACAGAAATTCTGGACTCAGCAAAAATACTTTTGCTTTGTGTGAGGATGAATACGGTTGCTTTTGAGGTCAGAGTAATTTGTTCACTCTCCTTCCCCTATTCCTTCTGCAGGGCACCGTGTGTGTTTGGGGGAGCATCTAGCAAGGACCGAGCTCTTTATTTTCTTTGCCAACCTGCTGCGGGCATTCACCTTCCGGCTCCCTGAGGGCGTGACAAAGATCAACACTGAGCCCATTTTGGGGGGTACACTGCAGCCGCACCCATACAGGGTTTGTGCCATTCCACGCTAGGGTGGACATGTGCAGCATGTCACAGACCATCTATTAAGCAATCATATTTACTTTTGTGAATGTACATCTTGAGACCATATAATGGGTTTTTTTTATCTTGGATATGAATTTCTGCTCCGAAAGCCACCTTTTGTCTATAGCAGATAATTATGTTCAGAGCCTGTTACCTGCTGTTGAAGGTGATTTTTTTTTTTTTTTTTAAATAAAAGGTCAAATTTTGATCTGGAACACACCATCATTCTCAGCCATAAAAGCATTATGCAGTTGCTGTCTGGCCTGGCAGATTTAAATGTGGTACACTGGTGAGCAAATGACAAAATGTCAGACTTCAAAAATTAATTCATTATCTCAGAGTTTTCCTGTTTTCAAAAGCAGTGGAGTTTGGAAAAACATACTTGGAAAAAACCTCTTTATATTCCTGTCATCACTCGTAACATTTCAGTCAACTTTTTGTTGGTGGTCACTAATAAAAGATATGAAGGAAAAATTAGCAACTGGTTTTATTTATGGATGGCTTACAGTTCACTGAGAATTTCTAGATTTGATGCAGCAGAATATGTATAAAGCATCTTTAGATCTGCCAGAGGATAATTGGTTTGAGTCAGTAGAGAAAAGGTGCAGGCTGAAACTCGGTGAAGAGTGAAGATTCACAGACAGGATTTCTTTAGGGCAGATACTTTTAACATTTTAAAATTCAGCCAAGTTGATTTTGGGAAAGTCCTTTCTAAAAGATAAACTGTTTACTCCTGTGAGCTGACTCCTGTCAGGATCAGCACTGGGTGGTTGCTACGGCAGCTGCAAGGAGCTCTTCCAAGGGGCGGTTTGGGTGAGGAGCCGGCTGTAATTCGAGCTGATGGTAAATTGAAAAATATACGTGGAAAATACCAGAGATACTTTTTAATCACCTCAGAAGTTCAGCAGTATGCCTGAGGCTACAAAGACTTGTCATATACACACGATACTGGTCAAATTCAATGAGAGTCTATAATAGCAGAAAAGGAAAAAATTGGTTCCTGTGCTGAATATATATTTATTTGTCTGGAAAAGACTTGTAAAGTGAACTTGTCCCTCATTAATATTCCTATTTCATGGAGAGAGGATAGGACAGCTAATCAGACAATTGTCTGATAAATCAGTTATCACTAGATGTTGTCCACTGTGTGACTGAGATTAGTTTAGGCAGTTTACCATGAATCACAGATTTAGACTGTCTCATTATTTCTCATTCAATAGCTGATGGAACACGGCATCAAAATAGTAAGCACTTGATATTTAGCTGTTATTAAATTAAATGGCAGAATAGCACTAGTGAAAATATGGAAGATCACATCCTGACATTTTATTTGACAGAAAACTGTGTGCCCTGTTAAAAACTGGTGTCAAAGTCCCTGTGGATTTGCATGTGTGCGCGGATAGATAAGGCAAAGCAGAAAATGCTGTGATCTGGGGATGGTGGAGCTGTCATTGCTTCTTAAAAACGAAGCTGGGAACATCAGTAGTATTACAAGCATTAATGTCACTGCTGTGTGATGCTGTCACTTCTGATGGCCCCATGCTCCCCCAGATACCCTTCCAAAAGGGACACTCATAAATAGGCCTGAGATAGCAGCTGGCCCAGGAAGGCCTGTACGCAGCCGGAGCAGGTGGAGTTGTCTGAACCCATAGGAATGTCACAACCCAAAACAATGGGCATAAACACCACCTGTCCGGATGCTCAGGAGGAGATGCGGGATGCTTCAGGGGAAAACTATGCATAGTAAGTGGGTAAGTTACTTGTGCGTGGTTGCGCTATTGTTTACCTGTGACAGGAACTGCTCGTTGGTGATTTTTAATCCGTTGTGCACAGATGCCTGGCAGAAGAGAGTCCAGCACATGAGGTGTAGCAGCAGGGTATCGGCGAGGAGGCTCACAGCGGGGAGATGGAAGAGGTACGCTTTTCAGAGCCTTTGCGTTTCTGTTCTTGCCTGACCTATTTTAAAAGTGGTTCACTTTAGCTCATGTTCTAGGAAAGCCTGGTCTTTTTGAGCTTTTCAAAGCCTTTTAAAGCCTGGCTGATGTTGCCACAGAAGGCAAACAAAGCTGAGAGCAGCTTTGAGAGGAGCCCAGCTGCCTCTCCCATGTTCCATGCTAACTCTCTCAACCTTGACTGCATGGTGCCTCCTCCGTCAGGCTGCTGAGATGTGTCACTCCAGTACTGCTGGTCCTAAGGGATGTCTTGCAGATCTCCACCATACCCTTCATTCCTCTCTCTCCTCTTGTTTATTACTTCTACATTGTTTCTTTTGGTTTGCTGGGGCTCCATTTTCGGGACCAATGAGAGGGATTGACACTCTTTTTGCCCTCTATATCAGGGATGCTAACCAGCCTGCTAGTGCCAGTGCACAGCTCGGTTTGTTGCTCGCCACCGTTCTCTGCAATGGCTGAGGTTAGTTGCCTCTTTGCTGAGCTCTTCCTGTGACTGCCCAGAGCAGCACCACGCAACTGTTCAACGATACAGCGGAAGATCTGGCTATAATGGAAAATATATAAGATGTAGAAAGGCAAAGTTGAAGATTTTGGGTTCATGTAGCTCTTGGAGAGGCTCAGAGCCTTTTGACACCATGATGCTCATCTGTCTCCCTTTCCACTGAATTCTGCAAGGACACTCTGAACCCGGAGGAGTTATCTGTGGAGGTGGCTTCACAACTCTGTCTCTGGAGTAGCGCATGTCAGCAGGTGGGAGAGGTGATCTCCTCATGTATAAAATTGAGGCCGAAATTGAAAAAGAAAAGGGAAAACATTTATGTCTTTGCTCTAAAGGCGTTTGGAGAGAAAGCTGTAATAATTATATCCATAATCATAAGTGACAATTAACACATGTAGGTCAACTTGATTTTTTTTAAAAAATGAGAATTTTAACTTTGTTAAAACGTGATTTTCCTGAAATTAACATGTAAAATGTTTTCATGTTCACAGATCTTTACTCAACAGAGGAGAAAACATTTTCTTAGAGGTAAGACTTTAAGAAAAGTAAATCACAGCTTAGTGCAGAGATCTTTTACAATATACCTTGGCCTAGGTATATTGTATCCTTTTTTTTGCCTGGCGATAATAAAAAAGAAGAATTCTAAGGAAAGGAAAAGGGTAAGAAAAACAAAGCAGTTCCAGCCATAGTGTTACTGAGAATTTAATTTTTTTCCAGTATCAGCTAGAAGACAGAGCAGCAAGAAGATGTGAAGACTTGGCAAATCTTTAGTAGCTCAAATTTTTTGTCTTCTAGCTGTTTGCTTTCTGAACTGACAACTGTCAGCTTCCTTCTGTATCAACTAAAAAATGTGATCGTAAATGTTGTGATTTGGGAGTGTGGGAAGGTGGGACTGCAATGGAACAGCAGGAACACATAAAATTAATTATATTACTTTGGTGGGAGGAGAGAGCACACTGAAAAAAAACCCAATTCAAGCAGTTATATCAAATATCCTGTTGAGGAGAGGGCAGAGCAGTTGCACAGCTGTGTTTGGACGTTAGGACCGAGACTTTTGACTGAAAAAAACCCCAATTCAAGCAGTTATATCAAATATCCTGTTGAGGAGAGGGCAGAGCAGTTGCAGGACCAAGACTTTTGAACTGGCTGTAAATGCCCTTGCTCAGGGAGCAGGAGCAGGCCAGCTCAGCTGTGCAGGGAGCTTGCTGCCCTGGTTTGCAGTGGAGCATTAAGCCCAGGCAGGATTTTACCTTTTTGCAGTGGGCTTCTTCCTGACGTCAAAGTTAAATCTTGCAAAGCCAGCGTAGATGTTTCTACTCTGCACTGTGCTGTATCTGCAGGAAAAAAATGGACCTTTCCCACATTTGAGAAGTATTCCCCTTTAACAGGGACAGAAATGCGGCTCCTATGCAAGAATAACAGAAGGGCAAGGGCAAGAAAGAATGTGGAGTTCTTTAATACAAATTCCTACATTAGTAAGAACACAATTCTTGCTCTTGTTTCTTCGAGCCTTAACAAACATATTCCAGTGTCTGCACAGTGTCAGAAGCACAACCTAAAGTGAATGCTTCTGCACTGTCTCTTTCCATGAAGAGTTTGCCAGGGACTATTGAGATGAGATGAAAATTTCAACATCTAGAACTTCTAGATGTGTTACCTGGCACATTTTCTCCTTGTATCCTTAAAGTTTATGCACAAACCAAATATAAGTAATAAAGAATAAAAATTCTGTATTTCAGTAGCATAATGAGGAACAAGGAAAATGCTGGTTTCTTAAAGCTGTGGGACATCAGGAAGGCTCTCCGGCAGATGGAAAATTTAATGTCTTTTTTGTCTTTGGTTGTCATTGAAAATGGCAATGGTGACCTGGAGGACAATACATTTAACACCACTGATGTTCATGGAAAATTTCTGGCTAGATTAGGAAGAAGAGGTTGGAAAATAACTACATAAATGTGACGTTTTCAAATTGGCTGGGCTGATTCATCCCAGGGTACTTAGGGAACAGTATCAACCTCGGCAATATTAGCAATTATCTATGAGAACCTGTGGAGGATGGGAAAACTTCAAACATTTGCTTGTCCTCAGAAAGTAAGCGAAGTTGCAGTGTTATAAATCAGTCAGCCTGATTGCACTTCTCAGAATATCCTGGAAAAATAATCAAATTGTAAGCACTGAGAGGAAAACAGAAAGAGTCAGTACTCACCAAATAATGTCAAAGTTACTTAGGTTTTTTTGATGACATAGCTAGAGGTCTGTATTCAGGAGAGAAGCCATTAATGTAATTCACTGCTCTTTAACGTGGCTTAGACACTCTAGGGAAATTGGGGTACCCAAAGCTTTGCAAATCTTTATGGAAAACTCAGGAAATATGTATCAATAGTACCATATCAACCTGTAAAGATACACTGAATGGGATTCTGTCCTGCATCTCGTACTATTCAATATTTGATCAAGGACCAAGATAGTATAAACACCAAGGCTGGGTAAAGTCTAGTTTGTCAGTGCCATCAGATCCCAAATTGATGCCTGCAGC